GTTCACTCTGTGTAATAACTATGAACCAGTAAAGTCTTTCTTAGACTCCCAGAGAAGGGCACAAATATGACTCAGGTATGTGTGCTGGTTTTTTGAATAGAAGGGAATTTTCTCCAGGTTAAGGAAGACATGGGAGTCTCAGGAAATTGCCCGAGTGAAAAGTACCACAGCAGCAAACAGGTCATCAAGTCATTTTGGAACCAGAGCGAGCTGTATCTCTAGTAAGACAAACACCGCTTTTCCCTCCTTTTAATTTATACGCACTAATGGCACAAATAAAGAGGTCTCTGGTAGGAACGAACGGTTATGTAAGGTGAAATCCGCATTCCTTGCGTAACTGCTGCTTACGTAACGCCGGCACAGCCACAGGCCGTGGGGAGGGCGGTGAGCTGCCGCCGCAGGCCTCGCCCCCGGCCCTGCCCAGGCGGGAGAGAGGAGCGGAGCGCTGGGCGCATCCTGGCGCTTGACCGTGGCAGGCTGACGTTGCCCTCTTGGCGAGCCGCAGTTACAAGAAGTAAAATATCTATATTTCCTACTCTGTCTGTAGGGTAGGAAAAAATGATGGAAAATTTCACAAGCTGCGGAGTCCCATACCTAATTTTTTAGATGAGCGTTATGGAAAGAAGATGGGCTTTCTAAGTCATTTTGCATATAAGCATAGGCCTAGCTATAGCATTTGTTACTCAGGCAGGTTGGATAAAAATAATAAAGCAATTCCCCCCCAGGTGTAAGTTTAAGTTTCTACATGAAAATAATTACATTTTGGGTTGGATTTCTTGCCAACTATGCTTGCTTTGCACTACACAAGCGATATAAAGAAGGTTTATTTGGGCTATAAATGGCCGGTAGGAATCCCCATGTACAAATGAACTCCCGGCTTTGGAGGTTGCAGAGTTTCACTCACACTTGTAAAAGGAGAGACTTGGAAAATACACTTGTAAAACAAAGAGAAGACGGGGGATATTCTAGCAACAGGGAAGACTGCAGTTCAGCAACACCTAGCCCCGAGTTTATTTAAGGCTATATAGTGTTTGTGTAAGGTTATGTCTAAACTGTATCTTGCATTTCCCAGTTTCTGGGCAGTTACGCACTCCACCTGCATCACACAGATATCTGTTATTTGGGAATGAAACTTCTGACTTGAGGGCCAAATAATCCAGATGCAAACCCTTGTCACAGATCATCACGAAAACCTTAATGGTCATCTAAAAGTAATACAAATGCAGAACTGAGTGTCACTTAACGGAACTATTTGCATTTCCACTGCAAACATAATATATAAAACAATTCTAAACGTACAGTTTAGATTCCAGTACTGATTTTCGCAGAAATCAAATAATTCAGAATATTCTGTATTTTAGGGGTTTCCAAAATAGACCACAGAGTTCCCCTTTGTGAGCTGTAATACACTGTTTCATTATTTATCATGCACTGGCAGTGTCTAATTTATTAGACTGTTGCTTGCTGAAGATTTTATTTTACGTGCATTCTGAGCAAATAAAAATCCTCTTAAAACAAAGTTGACTAAAACAGCATTGTACATCAGAGTGGTGGTTAAAAAGTATTTCATCTGCATATCACATAACAGATGTGAAATGTAACTTTCGGAAAATTCTCCTTTTTATAAATCAGATTAAAGGTCTTCCAGCTCCACTTACAGGTTTGTCTAATACAGTCAGATCTCTCCTCCTTAGAACAGTTCCAGAATTTCAGATAAATTATGTATAATGTCAGAGCAAGGCAGTCTTCCATCAAGGGTAAATACTTGCAAAGTCCAAGCTAAGTAGGTTTGAGATAAACTGGTTTAAACTAGCATTTTTACGTGGCTGTTGTGACAAAGCAAGGCAGTTAGTAGATGCCAGCAACGAATTTGCCAACTGGCTGGAAAGAAAGCTCTCCAAATACCTGAATGACAGCTTGCAATTCCAAACACACCAAAGTGTCCCATCTTGCTTGTAAACCTTTCTTGTGCAACAAAGTATTACAGTATATTCCATTTATAAACTCATGGAAAACTTCTGTTATGTTATTTCAGATGCCAATTATTAGGACTACATGGATACTTTCCCAGTTTATTTTTAAAGCAGTGACCGAACAGTCACATCCTTTTGTAATTTCTATAGTTCCCACTTCCATTTCAGTTTTTAAACAACCAGATTTATATTTGCATACTGTATGTATTTTATTTTATAATAATATACTACAGGACAATTATACTCGCAGGTATCCTTTCTGAAAGGAGAACGTCATTTGACTGAAAAAACCAAGAAACAGATTCCAAACCTACTATCAGTTCTAATGTCAGTGCAAGTAATTTTCAAAACATTTTGCATTTTATACAAGCTTAGTTGTATCTTGTATGTACATATTCCAAACACCACAACTATCCAAGATGGAGTTTATAAAAAATGGGCCTAATCAAAGTTTTTCCTCCTTGTTGCCCCTCTTGCATACTTTCTGGAATGTCCTTGAGCAGTCTCCAAACCATAGAAAATTTGCCACTTATATTTAGAGTAGGAACCAAACTTTTAGATTTACAAATTCCAGTTTAACTCAATACTGAGAAAGACCCAATCATCTCTATCAAGAGTTCTTAACTGAGCCTAATTCAAATACAGGACTGAATACTCATATGCCCAATTATTTCTACAAGCTTTTTGAAAAGCAGTGGATAAGAAAGATGATGCTTTTTGATTTGCTGACTTTATAAAACAGACAGATATGATTTGCTTTGTATCATTTCAATCACTCAGTAGAATCATTTTCTCCCTTTTTGAATGATTACAATTTTCATCTATTGTTTTGTTTAAAAAGTTGAATCATTCTTCCTTTCTAGTAGAGAGTATTTGATAATGCGATTCAATTACGTTTCACATTTGGCACAAACCTCCCTCCAGCTTTTGGAGATTACTTTATTTAACCGTGTTTTTTTGCTGTTAGAATATCAGTTACTCTTCGGTAAGTAAATGTATGTGTGCCAAGCATATCATTAACCGAACTGACTGAAGATCAGAAAAGCGAGTACTAGGTCTAATATCGCTTGTATACCACTAATGGGTACATTACAGATTTAAATATTTCATTCGATCCATTAGTTGTTTTGTTGTTATCAGTATCACAGTCAGTAATATTAATCTATTTTAAAAAATGAATTCAAAGTCCATTAGCTTTTAAGGCACTGTTCAAATGAAAGCAGTACGTTATAACAACTGAAACAATTTCAAGTGAGAACGAGAGACCATTTCCCAATTTTGATGAATATGCATTCCAGCTTTAATCATCTCCCACACAAGATTTGTCTGTTTCTAAAAATAAGTATTAATAATACAGATGTATATTTAGGGTTTTCTTTGTTTTATTCCATTGTTCAGTAGATATTGACATGCAAGCAAATCTTTAAAACTTCTATTGCATTTCCTTTTGTTAAAATAGACTGACTGCGAAAGAGCAGTCCAAATAACCATGTACACTGGAATAATCATGAGTTTACTACTGTCACCAAAAGAATAATCTCTAAAGTAGGGCTTAAAGCAAGTTGAAGGCATAATAGAAATACAGAATTTAAAAAATAATATGAAGAAACGTAATCAGTTGTAACTTTGTGGTAACAGGAAGGGGATAACTTTTTCTTGTATAATAAGATTAAAAATATAAAAAGAAATAAATTTTTACACAGTGCAAAATTTACCTGAGAGAACTACTGCTTGCTACAGAAAAGAAGTGAACCAAAACCCAGATGGCTTCAGAAAGTACTGACATTTTTACAATAGGAATCAGAACATTTAAAATAACTCTGGGACATTTGCACTACTTTCAATACAGTGTCTAAAAGTATAATCTACCCACAAACTGGACTGGCAGAAAGACTCCTTCATGGGCCAGATGGCAAGTGTTTAACGAAGTGCTGACTGACATCACTGGGGTGTTCTAAGTCTGGATGCAAAGTTTAATGCTTTATGTTTTGCAGGTGCTAATGGAAGCATACAACAACGTCTACTGTTGAAAATATGCTATTTCATTGTTGCCAGCTTAGTGTTACTTCCATTTCCCAAAGACACACGTGATTTGTTCATTATGAGAGCAGAGATGGGACATGAAACTGGACCCACTAGTCAAATGTATGTTCTGAACACAGTTTGTAAAATAACTGATCATAGTAATTGCTTCTGCAAAATGTGAGAGGACTTGAAGAATTTTCTTGTTAATTTATTATCATTATCCTATTACAATCCATCCTGACGTTATTACAGATCTTGCAATAGTATTTTCTTAATGCTTCAATTACTATAGATGCATTTACTAAGTTATGATCTGTTTGCCTTTAAAGGTTTCCAACTTGTTACAAAAGGAAGGCTCATTTAAATAGTCATGATCACCTAGGAAAAGTGTCCTATGTCCTCATGGATTTGTACTTCAGTGCTCATAGAAGCTTTTTCTTTGTTAAGGCATTTTTAAGGTCTCCCTTCTATGTGAATTCTCTGGCCTTCATAAAATGTGAACTCACACTGCAGCATTTTCTTCACTTGGGGCATACAGAGCTGCTTGTTTCCATGAAAGAAAACTGTAGAAACTCAGTTATCTTTGAGACCGTTATTTTTTCATTGTGGTTGGTAGGAAGCCAGCGATAGCGCAAGAGGGAACTCTTCCAGGTTTTTGTGTCCCATAGTTAGAAGAGAGATTAAATCAAGTGTGGCTGCAAAACCCATTTGGCAAGCTGAGAAGAGGAATCCAAGAAGCCATGGGATACCCAAGTCCAGCAGGCAGGGCACAATTATGATTAGAGGGCCACTAAGGAGCCCAAACTGCCAGGCAAACCCCGTGATGGGAAGCAGGCAAGTCTGGGCAAGTTCAGGCAGGTGGTTGGGAGAAGGACATGGGGAACAGGAGAAAGGAAGAAGGACTAACAGATCAGCAATCAACGGGTGTACTGAATGGCCAGCAGCAACAGGTGTCCTCTACTCATATATCATGTGGGCAGGGCAACCGTGAGTCAGACTTACAGACACTTAGACTATGTCGTTTCCTAGGTGGCAGATGGCTTGTCTGGGTGTAGCCTGGCAGCTGATGAAGACATTCAGAGTTACTGTGGGAGAAGCATGCACACGCAGCATAAGCCTTTTTTCCAAGCTAAGAAACAATGTCTTTTTTTTTTTAGTAGTATTATTATTTTAAAATAAATTATTTTATTATTTTGTATGGCTGACTCATTTTCAAATGCTTTGGATTGGTACAGGTCTCATACAACCGCTGTGGCTGTAGTTCTTAGCTTTTTTATGAGCACACGAAAGTGATCCTGTTGATACCAGTGTAAGAGTCAAAATATCTGGCGGTCTTTGCAACTCAGACTTTGCAAACATTCGCAACTATTCTTTGCAACTCAAACTTTGTATGGTCACCTACTTTCTTTTCACTTCCATTTCTTCACCAGCTGTGTGAAGTCAAGGAATTTCTGAAGCCAAAACCCCCTGAGGTTTATGAATGGAGCATTTTTTTGTTTACCAAGTTGGGAGGACATGAGGGGACAGCACACTTGCCACAGAACTACCTGACCCCTCACATGTTTTGGGAGATCTACCTTTACCCTGCTTGTCTTTTTACACAAAGGACCTTGTTCTTCAGTTGCTACATTCCCAGTGCTTCCCTGCGCTGTAAGGATACTTTTATACTTAAATGTCTTCAGATTAGACTCTAAGTATTGTAACCCAAACTTACCATAAATGTCCCTAAACCTTTCAGCTTCAGCGCCTGGAATCTCTATAAATAAGGTAAAAATATTTTACGTATTAAGATGCTCATTCCTGC